TCCCAGATAATTTTTTCTGCATATATATTGACTGGGAGAGATATATATTATCTATATTTGTTCACCTTCAAAAGAAAGGTAACCCAACAGAGTGTGGAAACTATAGAACAATATCATTGATTTCAAATGCAAGCAAGATTCTGCTGAAGATTATCCAAAAATGAGTGGAACAGCACATCAGCAGAGAACTGCCAGAAGTCCAGACTGGGTTTAGAAGGGGTCGTGGTACTAGGGATATTGTAGCTGATGTTAGATGGATCTTAGCTGAAAGTAGGGAATACCAGAGGAATGTCTATCTGTGCTTCATTGATTTTGCAAAGGCATTTCACTATGTGGATCATAACAAACTGTGGCTGACTCTGAGAAGAATGGGAATCCCAGAACACTTGATCGTGCTAATAAGAAACCTATACTTGAGCCAGTAGGCAGTCATCACAACAGAGCAAGGAAACACTGCATGGTTCAAATTAGGAAGGGCATAGGCCAGGGATGTGTCCTGTCTCCATACCTTTTCAACCTGTATGCAGAAAAGATCATCTGGGAGACTGGGCTCTGTGAGGAGAAATGTGGCATCAGGATTGGTGGAAGATCTATCAGCAATCTGCGTTATGCAAATGACACAACCCTGCTTGCTGAAACTGAGGAGGATCTGAAGCGCTTGATGCAGAGGGTCAAGGACTGCAGCCTTCAATATGGATTGAGGCTCAATGTCAAGAAGACAAAGATTCTCACCACTGGACCAACTGGCAGTATCAGGATGGATGGTGAAGAGATTGAGATTGTTCACCGCTTTAGTCTGCTTGGCTCCACAATCAACACTCTTGGCACCAGCAGCCAGGAAATTAAAAGACGCATTGTGATGGGAAAGTCTGCTGTTAAGGACCTCTCTAAAGTACTGAAGAGCAATTGTGTCTCTCTGGAGACTAAGGTGTGTCTGAATCAGGCCATGGTCTTTGCAATCAACTTGGTATGTATCAGAGTTGGGCAATGACTAGGGAGGACAGAAGGAGAATTGATGCCTTTGAGTTATGGTGCTGGAAAAGAGTATTGAATGTACCATGGACTGCTAAGAAAACAAACAGATTCATCCTTTAGAGGGTTAAACTGGGCTTCTCCTTGGAGACAAGGATTCTGAGGCTTCATCTGACATACTTTGGTTATGTTGTAGGAGAGACCAGTCCTTGGAGAAGGCCATCATGCTTGGAAGGGTGGAGGGAAGGCACAGGAGGGGAAGTCCCTCTAGGAGGTGGATTGATTCGGTGATTGGAGTAATCGGGATGAGTGTGTCGGAGACAGTGAGATTAGTAGAGGGCAGAACAGAGTTTAGGGCTGTTGGACATGGGGTTGCTATGAGTTGCAAGCAGCTCGACGGCACATAACAACAACAATATACAACATATAGACACAAAAGGTATGGAGATAGGAGACATCCCTGGTGTACACCCTTCCAATTTTGAACTAAGCAGTGTTTCCTTGCTCTGTTCTGACTACTGCCTCTTGGTCCAAGTATAGGTTTCATATAAGCATAATCAAGTGTTCTGGGATTCCCATTCTTCTCAGAGTCAGCCATAATTTGTTATGATACACACAGTAAGTGCCTTTGTATAATCAATGAAACATAGATATACATTCGTCTGGTATTCCCTGCTTTCTACCAGGATCCATATAACATTAGCTACAATATCCCTAGTACCAGGACCACTTCCAAACCCAGCCTGCACCTCTGGCGATTCTCTGTTGTATAATTTTTGACAATATAGGAACATTTTATAACTATTGCGAGAAATTTTGACCAGTATAGGAAAGGATTGTTCTATTTTAGCAACTAAAAGACAATTTTGAGGATATATTAAGCATGTTTTAATAAATTTTCATGATAAAATTTTTATCTTTCTTTTACAAATTAGGATTTTTAGTGGCTAGAGAGTTTAGGGACTTACTGAGACTCAGAGCTAGTAAGAGGCAATACTAGGCACAATATTTGCTTTTGTCCTATTTCAACACCCTTAGACTTCATTTATTGTACAGGCAGCAGGCCTGTGCCTTACACTAAAAACAGTTGTATGTAAGAAATGTTGTTATAGTTTTCTATCCATAAACCAAAGTTTATATATTCCTGGTCCCCATCTCATTAGACTAAAAAAAGAAAATTCAATTTGCTTTACACCTCTTTGGAAATACAAGAATGTAGAATTACATAGTAGGTGCTCAAGATTGAGGCACATGGAGATTTAAAGAAAAGAAGTTATATATAAGTAAATTAGGCAAAGAAAGGAATTTTTATCTTGGGGTTGAATGAAAAGGAGGAAAGGAAAAGAGATCAGCTTTGAACACCACCATGTTACTCCACCATAACAAAAAAAGGGTTTTCACCTTGTTTTGAACCATAATTGATATGCTTAACCTCTCTTCCTGTGAAGTCTAACCTTTTACTGTGTAAATCAAATACTACATAAGAGTGGAAATAGTACTCATCTATCTTGACATTGTCAATTACCTTGGTCATATGATCCCGGACAGAAAGTGTCTCATATTTTAAGGTTGTCTATTTTTGTTACTTTTGTAAAACATCTAATGAGTAAAATAAACTTGTAATGTTTATGTTTTCAACCATACCACCACTTCTTATAGTATTTCCTCTAACCTGTAAGAAGTAATCATATACACAAATTTTAATGATATTTTCTGTGACTTATGGCAGAAGAATGTAGGTCTTCTACTGGCATACTTACTGTTTACTGTTCTTTAATCAAAATACCTCTAAGTCATTCTTAAAATTATTTTGTGTGCTTTACTTGGTATATTTAAGTTTCACATTAACGTTTTAATATATAAGCACCTGTCCTAAGTTTTTATTTGCACTTAGGTTTGAGTTTGCTGACAAGTAAGTTTCCTTAGATAATTTTTTTATATTGTGCTAGGACAATTTAAAAAAATAAAATTCTGTTGACTATTCATTATGTTCTATTTTAGTGTTAATAATAGTTTTCATGTGCTGTCAAGTTGAAACTGACTTGACTTCCCAATGGGTTTTCAAGGGCTATAAATTGTACAAGAGGAAATTGTCCTTTTTCCCCCAACCCCGGAACAGTTGCTGGATTTTAACTGCCTGAGTTTGAGTTGATGGTGCAACTCCTTGACCAGTAGGCCACCAGAGCTCATTAAGAGTTGTTTTGTACTGTTGAGTTGGAGCCAACCTATAGCTGACCCTCCAGTGGGTTTTCAGAGGCAGTAAATCACACAGGAGGAGATTGCTCGTCTTTCTCGCACAGAGTTATTGCTGGATTTGAACCAATTATCTTTAAGATTGCAGCACTGCTTCTTACCTCTAAGACATCAGAACTGCCTCCTTTAATAGTAGTGGCAGTAATAAAATATATTGCATTTGTATTTTGTTCTACTGGTTTAAGACTGTTTCATCTGAACTCTTAAATTCTTACACTAAACCTGTGAATTTAAATATCCTTAAGTGCATGAACTTTTAGCAACTTGAGCCACCCATATATTAAACAGTGAGTAAAAAGCCAAAACTAATAATTGCCCATTTTGCCTGGTATTTAGTTCACTGTCCTTCCCATTACAATTTATCACAATTCTGAGAAAGCCCATAAATTAATATACAATGTAAGTTTTAGAACTATGCCAGGCACTATCATTGCTGAAGGATACCTAATTGCCAAACACTTAATCAATGCAAGGAAAAGATAGAATGCATAATTCTCACTGACAGTAATAAAAATGGAAAACACTTTTAATTTGCTTCCTTTTTGCTTTTTCTCCCTAACTAAAATGAGATATAAGACTCATAATTTGAAACCATGCCATTAATTCCATCAGAAATATTAAATATTAAATAAAGTGATCCTTATTGACTATAAAATGAACATCTTTTACTATTCTAAGATAGGAGATACTTTTATGTGAACAGTAAAGACATTAAAATGGGGGAGGAGAAAGGGATTTTATTTTCATCCGGAAAAATTATACATATGCAGACCTAATTATTTCCCACAACACCTGGTTTTCAAAAGTATGCCCTAAAACACCTGATTTGCTACACTGTCACATAGTGATTATAGAAGCTAGGCTACAGCAGGAAGGTAGATACATTTTTACCTCAGGCGTGAATTAAATCCTATCTTCATCCAGGCTGATGTCACAATACTTTCGTGGACACTTTCTATCTATGAGCATGTTTATTATTTCATTTATAGTGAAGATGCTATTATCATTTCTGGGTACTTATCTTCAAGTAAGCCAACTTCCCTTTGATAAAAATGTGTCACTGACGTACTTATTGTTCCAATGACACCAGCTCCAGGCAACCTCCCACAGTATAAAGTTTGATATTTCCCACAGGGAGGAAATAACTGAGGCTAGTTCCAGATGCCTTGCTACATGCTTTTGTGAGTAACTCCTAAGTGCTTGAAAAGTATACAAACACCAAAGTATAAGGAAGACAGAGTGAAGGAAATGATTGCTATGATTTTTTAGTGTTTTCTTTTAGAAAATGAAAGTGAGGTAGTGTTGGTGTTTGGTTTTTGTTTTTTCTGTTATTTTGTGTGGGTTTTTTGTTTGTTTTTACTGACATCCTATATAGTGAATGGCTACTTTTGTTCTTTATATGAAGAGAGAAAAGGAGTAATTTTATCTAAATGTTGAGTTTTTCCTTCAAGGACTGCTAAGATAGTTCATGACATAACTATGTGAAAAAGTGACCTCGCTCTACTCTTATCATGACTGTCTATTCTTTAGAGTTCATTTACACATGGAGACTTGCAACATCCTGTCCTGAATACTACCAAAATCACTGGACTAGCTCGATATTTGGCTAATGACACCATAGTGTTAATCCTTTAAATGCATTTTGTCATCCATAAAATTTACACAAATAAAGATAACCCTTGCTATTCAACACACTCAATTTTTATTTTTTTACTAACAAATTCAACATACTTCCTTTTATAAATCAGTTCAAGGCTTATTTTTCTTATCAACAGGATAACATTTTTAAACTGGAAGATTCACATTTCGAAAATGGTCGTGGGAAGAGTCCATATGACCCTAAACTATTGACGACATCTCTTTTAATCGGTATGTATCACAAGAAGTTAAACAGTGCATTTTCTAGATCTCATAATCAGTTTGTATGTTATTTTAATTGGTTTGTATCAACAAGAAGTTAATGCTTTTTCTATAGCTCATAATCAGCTTGCATGTTCTTCCCCTCCTCCCCCCAAGATTTTACCTTATTTATTTTAAACTACTTTAAATTCTGCTATTCTGATTGGGGTGAGATGATATCTCATAGTTGTTTTGATTTGCATCTCTCTCAGAGCTAGGGATTTTGAACATTTCTTCATGTGCTTGTTGGTCATCTGAATGTCTTCTTTGGTGAAGTATCTGTTCATATCCTGTGCCTGTTTTTCAATTGGATTATTTATCTTTATCTTGTGGTGAAATCATCTCACCCCAGACAGAATAGCAAAGTTTAACAGAACAGCAAGCAACAAATGCTGGCGAGGTCATGGAAAAACTGGAACCCTTATTCACTGTTGGTGGGAGTGTAAAATGGTGCAACCACTGTGGAAGGCAGTATGGCGCTTTCTCAAAAAGTTGCAAATAGAGATATCATTTGACCCAGCATTTCCACTACTGGAAATACATCCCAAAGAGACCATAACTGACATCCAAGCAGATATATGCAAACCCATGTTTATCGTGACTTTGTTCACAATAGCAAGGAGTTGGAAACAACCCAGGTGCCCATCAACAAACGAATCGATAGAGAAGCTGTGGTATATTCACACAATGGAATACTAAGCTGCATTGAAAAACAAGGAACTCATGCAATATTATTCAAACGGGTGAGCCTGAAGGACATTATTCTGAGTGAAATATCTCAGTTTCAAAAGGACAAATATTGCATGGTGTCACTGCTGTAAAATGGGAAAGACTGAGAAAAACTGGATAAATTGTATACTGCACTGAAACAGATGAGGGAGTGAATCATTTAAAAGTGATGTATGATAGGGTATTATGGTTATCATAAGAGTCTACAATTAAGTTTGCATAGTGGAATGTACTTGGGGCGGTGGGAGGGGTGTGGGGGGATTGTTTACCAGGGAGGGAGTGTTTCTTTTACTTTTCAAAGAGAGGAGCGAACTGGGGGCAGGTGGGGGAGGGCTGGGTGGTGAGAGACGTGCAGCAATGAATGAATGGAAATCCAAAATCTCTATAAATGTTCATTAAAATTATTAATAAAAACCCCTACTTTAGGAGTACATCAGTTGTGATATGCTCAAATATTTTGAAAATGGAGAAGAAATACTCAAAGTTATTTTGACCATCTCATGATCCAACCTATGATACTTTTTATTAGGAATGCTTAAATATAATAATTTTTGAGTGACCTGCTTAATTACTATATATCACTACTTGAACTTTAGAACTTTTGCTTTCTGAGAAGATATTTTGGTTTTCATTTCATGAAAGAAGCATTTAAGAAGGAAATTCTGACAAGTGAGGAAGAATGAATGAAAGATACTGTATTAATTGAGTTCAATTTGTAGATCAAGTTTTCCCACTCTCAATATTTACAAAATTTAGCATAGGAAGTCATAGAAGCATATAATTTACAGAGACCTATTGCATTACCTTGTGTTGACTCATATAAAAACAAGAAGAATAATGGAACACTGCAAGGTTTTAAATCAGGAAAGGTATGCATAAGATTATTATCCTCTCCCTATACCTGTTCCATATTTTTCCTGAGCAAATAAATTGAGAAACTGGACAATATGAAGAAAAATGTGGCATCAAGATTACAGGAAGACTTTAAAATTTGATACAATTTTGCTTGCAGAAAGTGAAGAAGACTTGAAGCACTTTCTGCAGAAGATGAAAGACTACAGCCTTCAATACAGACTACACATCAAGATTAGGGAAATAAAAGTCCTCAGCATTGAATTAATGGGTAACATCATGAGAGAAACAGAAAATATTGAAGTTGTTAACAATTTATTTCCTTTACTTAGTTAGATCCACATTGAATACCCACAGACGTAGGACAGTGTTCAGATCTTTTGTTCATAGGGTTGCTATGGATTGTACTCTACTCGAAGGCACCTAACACACCAATAATATTTAGACTAAGGAAGTTTAAATGTGAGAGAATTTTAGTCTATAAAAAAGAAAAATTAATTTTTAATTATTTCACTACCCTTGGATATTGGATATTGGTACCAGGGATATTGTAATTGATGTTAGATGGATCTTAGCTGAAAGCAGAGACTACCAGAGGAATGTCTATCTGTGTTTCATTGACTATGCAAAGGCATTTGATGGTGTGGATCATAAGAAACTATGGCTGACTCTGAGAAGAATGGGAATCCCAGAACACTTGATCATGCGAATGCGAAACCTATATTTGGACCAGGAGCCAGTCGTCAGAACAGAGCAAGGGAAGACTGTATGGTTCAAAATTGGGAAGGGCGTA